CAACTAGTAGCTTAATTTTTGGAGTCTGATTCCAGCCCAACAGAGCTGAAAGAAGGAAGAGGGAGGAAGGGTTGAAGTCTGTCCATTCATATGGACACAATCTCCGTAAATTTCTCAGTAGTGCTCCCTCCAAGCCCCTGCTATAAAGCACCGTGAGCTACACTGTACCAGTTTGTAATCCTTACACTAATTTGCATGAGGGGTTCTTTTTCTTCTTCCTATTTACTTTTCTTTCTTCCAGAACTGGCTGGGCTTAATAATTAACTTAATGAGGTGGTGGTTACTACTTGGTCCTTTTATTGTTTAGGAAAGATGGAATCAGTGAGCTCCCACGAATAAACAAAGGAAACACATATACAAAGAACACTAGTGTTGGTGAGATCTTTATGCCATAGGTTCTCTAACACATTTTAGGGGGGCTCATCACAGTTTAGGGGATCTAGCTTGGAGACAACTCCCCAGGATGGCCATTCCCAAGGAATGCAGCTACATTGCCCCCTAGTGGCTGTAATGAATAACAAAAGACCTTATTGTTGAAACACCCTGCCCCCTGAACCAAAAATAAGTTCAAGAGTTCCCTTGAGTCAAGAAGCCCTTAGAGAAAGTCCTCTAAAGGATCCAAACACTCTTCCTTGGCACAGGTACTCCCAAGAGAAGCAAGATGTGATCCCTGTGTTCAAGAAACTCACAGTCAAGTGACGGAGACAAACTGCCTCCCACCTCCATCCCAATCATTTCAGTACAATCCTTGATGGGGCAGGTAAAAATCTAATCGTTAATCTTCGATGCACAGCTGAAAGGTTCTATTGTGGTGTGGGTATGCTGATAGGAGTTCCAAAAACCACTCTCATTAGGCATCTTCAGCAATTTCCAGTTGGGGATTCTATATGGTGCATTTAAAAATTCCGTGCCCTTAAGCAATGTGAAAGGCGATCCTTTCAAGATTTCTTCATGCCCATTCCATCCTCATTCTGTTAGCTGCAACTGAGTCAACAGTACAACTTTATAGACGCTTATCTTTCCAAAGCATCCATTGTTCTCATAAAAAACACTACTCTTTTTTCCACTCGTATGCTCTTCATTTAAGTCACATGAAAGTAAATTACTTCACTTACAGGTACAACTGGCAGAAACAGGTTTGGGGTCACACACTATGGAGCTCAGGAAACATCTAGATTATGGGGTGGGAATGCCGGAGGGTGTGGGCATCTCAGTGCATCCTACGATCAGAGAACATTCATTTGGCTATGGGTATCCATCAATCTCTTTTCTAGAAGAAATGGAGGGCATGGATTAGACAAGCCACTCAGTTAAAAGACAGGATGTTGTGGGAGCACAGAGGAGGGACATCCAGTTTAACTTTGGAAGACAGATGTCAGATTTTCTTGGGGAACAAAATACATGAGCTGAGACTTGAAGGGTAGGGTTTGGCCCACCCTCCCCTCTCCTCCCCATCATGGGTGTGTGTGTAAATGTGAAAGTGGAAAGGCACAGAGCTGCATGAAATCACATGGTAGGTTCAGAAAATTGTAAGTATCTGTATGGCTGAGTCCGGGAGATAAAACAGAAGAAGGGGAGAAGGCGGTAGGAGGGGATGTGTGCCCTGTGTGATCCTTCAGCGATGTGATTTTGCACATTCTCTTCTTCATGCTCATCCCAGTGCATGGCCTTCCATCTGTTCATTAGTCCTTACAGGACACTCCCTGCGTCCAAAGATGAGAAGTCACTGTCCCGAGGGCCCCTGGCCTGGTGAGGGAGATGGAGATGTACACAAATAATTCTAAGGGAACGTGATAAGTGCTGGAATAAAGGCCTATTCGAAGTAATAGGGAGAGGACCTCAAAGAAGGCAATGACTGCTGGACTATGAACAGATTCTAATGGGCGTGATGATTTAACTTGAGTTTCAAGGATAAGCCAGATAGAAGGGGGATCTGTCACCAGACTGATGTTCCTGCTGCCCCACCACTCCCTGGCCTCCTTCCTGGCATGCCCCCGCCTTCTGAAAGACCCAGAAAGAGCAGAGCAATGCTGACTCCCGCCAGAAGCCTGTCCACGGAGGAGAAGGCCACATTCCCAGGCAAAAGTGATGCTCTGCCGCCATTTCTTGGGTGGAACCCGGTCCACAGTTCTTGTTGAGTCACTGTATTGGTTTGAAGAGAAGAATATTTATGAGTACACACGCACATTATGCAAAATAGAAACATTTAGGGTAGTTAGCGAAATTCACTCCAAAATTCAATAAAATTCAGTGAAAACAAGTTATATTTGGTCACTGGCTGAGTTTTCAGCCTTCAGCCATTTATTTTAAAAGATGCTCAGCAAGGTGAAGATAATGTAATCCCTGTCGCTTAGAGGCTTTAAATTATTAGAACAATTTCTAATTAAACTTAAATTATTTAACTATTAACTATCTAGTTAACAAATTATATCCCTTAAACTTTAAATTATTAAAAAAATGTCCAACTAAACTGAGTGAAACTTTTTTCAGACCTAACTGGACTTCTGGAAGATTGCAAGCCTTCCAGACAATGGTGCCTCTGACCCTCCTCCCTCTCATGCTCTCTGTCTCTCATTCTCTCTCTCGCAAATAAATAAAAATCTTAAAAAAAAAAAGAATTAAAAAAAAAAAAGAACATTTCATTTTCTTCTCAAGCTCGTGAGAAAATCATCCTATAGTCAGTCTCTCATCCAGAAAGTGTGGCAACTCTGCCTATTTGTACTATCTCTCTGTCAAATAAATAAATTAAAAAAAAAAAAGTGTGGCCAAAAAAAATCCTGGGAAAGATGTATTCATCCCACACAGTAGGGGCGCGACAAATATTTGCAGAGACTGTGGTGTACATTGACCATCCTCTGTGGACAATGCAGAAAATAATGTAATGATCCCTGTGAGTCTCTGAAAAAGGCCGCCCAGCCTCACTTCTAGGATAGCTTCCTAGATCAGTAAGACCCACTCCTCAAATAATGCTTGTCTCTGAGGCCACACGTGCGGACCTATCTTGTCTTGGACAGCAAGGTTTCAGAATACATGTGGAGTTACCATTTAAAGCTTGAGAGATTTCAGATGCATTTAAAGCTAGCTTGCTTTACCCAGTCGCCTCTATCTGGCCCTTTTGGAATTTGTGCTGGTGCGTGGATTATAATCATGTTAGCTAAATAAAAGTTCAGAAGTCCTGCTAGCTTTTTCAGGTGTTAATTTAATCCTACACAGAACACACGCACACCCCAAACAAAAAAATAGATGGTTTAAAATGTGTAAATAGAAAAAGCAAAGCCTCTGGCGCTCAAATTTCTCACTGTCTCTGACTGCACAGGGCCTGCGATCAGTTTGTAACCCCCTGTTCTCGGACCTTCCTCACTGCCGGGCGCCTGCTGACTGGGGACCTGAAGGGAAAGACCACCTGTCCCTTCATTACTAATGCTTGACAAAGCTCCCTATCAGAACTGGGAAGGAATTCTTGAAGCAGGCAGGGAAGAACTAAAACCCCACTGATATGCAAAGCCACCAAGTGCCCCGGCAGCTTGTCACAGAGAAGACACCATTTAGAATTTTACAGAAGTTAATCAAATTAGATAGGAATAAAACACAGATGATTTTCACTTAATATTTTTAACAATCTTACAATACTGAGAGTCTCCCCACTTGAAAATCGCTCCTATAAAAGGCAGCTGAAGTTGATGCCACCTTCGTCCTGGACCTTCCTGCCCGTCCAGTGTGGTCCCCTGAAACCACAGAGCACCCACCGCCTTTCCCTTGCTGCTCAAGCCCACACCTGCAGCCCCTGCCTAGCCCCCTTCAGGCTCCTCCCCCCAATTCCTGGTTTGCCATCTCTCCTCCCAGCCGGCCAGGAATACACCTCAAAGAGAGTTCAGTAATAAGCATTATATAATAATAGTAATAAACATGTATTGAACACCTACTATGTGCCAAGTTCAAGTCTAATTCTATGAGAGGGGTCAACCCTTTCAGTAACCAGCATAAACAACCTGAGGCTTGCAGTGTGGTAAAGTCGCACCATCAGCAGTCAGGCTGCCGGCTGAGATCTAAGCAGGGCTTGCAGACCACCTCCGGTGTGGACCAAAAGCTGTCTGCAAGGCTCCTCCCACCTGGAGTCAATGATTACTGCTGCCATTTTTAGGATGCAAAATTAGTAGGAGCCCCTATTCGGGGCACCTGGGTGGCTCAGTCGGCTAAGCAACCGACCCTTGATCTCAGCTCCGGTCTTGATCTCAGGGTCGTGGCTTAAGCCCCTCCTTGGGCTCCACGTTGGGCGTGGAGCCTACTTAAAAAAAAAAAAAATACCCCTATTGCTGAGAAAGGAACTTTTCTTTGACAATTTCTCTATTTCCCATAAATGGGCTAGCCCAGAGTACTTCTGGATTAAACTGCGCCTCCTCAAAACAGTCGGCTCATCTTAACCCACGAAGCCGAGGAGCCCCGGGCGGACCCAGAGGTGCCGCCCGCTGCCAGCAGGGAGCTGCTGAACAAGCTGGAGGGCTAAGGGCTGCCGGCGGGAGCAGCTGCTGTTTCCTCCACGAGGTCTGTCATTAACGTCCCCTCGGAGGGGGTGGCACGGACAAAAGCCCAAGGAGTACCGCCGACGTGCGCCCAGACCCGGCAGAACCGGCCTCGGCTCTCTGCCACCCACTCGAGCGGCGCGGAGATCACACGGAGGAAAAGGCGGGTCCGGGGAAGCTCCTGGGGGAAGAGAGGAAATTTCCCGTTCCTGACTCCCCTGCTCGGCCGGGACCGCAGTGCGCGCTCCGGAGCTCCCTCCGGGCGTGGCGACCCCAAGCGGCGCAGGGTCCCCGGGGCGCCGGCGGAGAGGGGCTGCCCCGCGAGGGCTGCCCCGGGGTCCCTCCTCCCCGCTCTCCCTCCTCCTCCTCCTCCCCTCCCGGCGCCCGAGCCTCCGCGCCCTACTGCTCGCCGCTCCCTGGGAGGGGGACGCGGTGCCGGGGAGCGGCGGCGGGGGTGGGGGCAGGCGGCCCGCAGCCTACCGTCTTCTGCTTCTTGATCCCCGACATGCTGGCGGACTGGACGCTGCGCGGCGGACACTCGGAGCTCGACTCCCGGGAGCGGAGGTGCGGGGACTCTGAGAGTGCGGCGGCTGCTGGGGCCCGACTCCCGGGAAGGAGGTATAAAAAGGCTCCCGCAGACACGTCGCACTTCCCTTGACCGGCCCCCTCCTCCCACTCCTCCCCCCGC